AAAAAATTTTTGTGTTAAAAGTGTCAATTTTTCTGCACTTTTAACAAAAAAGTAAAAATTGTTATATACTTTTAACCATTTTTATACTTAATTTTTTTCAAATTTATGTTAAAAATTTTTTCAAAATAAGAATCAGCATCATCATTTTGTATGGTCTGCAACTAAAGAGGGTCTAGACTCAAAATTTATCTTGCAGAATGACTATCTAAAAGATTTGATTTGTATATATAAATGAAGTGCATTCCTGTATGATAAGTCCTTGAATTATCAATGTAATATATTATTTAGAAACAAAACAAAATAGTGTTTTTGATTTAATAAAGGAATGAGAATCTGTTTCTGGAGACCCAGTAAAACAGTAAAATTTAGAATAATGAAGTGGGGAAAAAGTTTCTATATTGGTTCCACAATTAAAATGTAAAATACTGTAATAGAGAACACTAGGAAGGAAAAGTTAAGAATAAGTTTAGCTAAGAAAGCTTCTAATAAAACTTAAATGTAAAGTGGAATGAGACTATTAATATATAATAAGAATGTTTGAACAAATTTGAGAATAATGAAACAATTGTGTATTTTTACAGTAAACTTAGATTACAGATATTTAATAAGAATGCAGACAAAATGTCATATATTTGTAAAGTACTGATTAGAAAACAGACAGGAAAAGGAAGAGAGAGAGAGAGAGATAAAGATGTAGTAGTTTTAATTTTAAAACTAAATAGTCCAGCATTTAAACTGTTTGTAAACAGGACTTTGTATTTTTTTTAATATTTTTTGAAACATTTTTAAAAATTGTTTTTAGAATGAAAGATTTAATAGAATGTTTAAAAATTTAATATTTCAAATGTATTTATCAATATATTTATTTGATTTTTGAAGATGGAAAAAAATTTACCAAAAACATATCAGTAGAATAAAATAATTGGTAAGCAGTTAAAACTCACTGTGTTCGGTGTTATTAATCATTTTTCCTTCTTTAAAAATGATTTATAACGCTGAACACAGTGAGTTTTAACTGCTTATCAATATTACTTGGCGTGAATAACATACTAGTCTATATTAAAATAATTGGTTCCTTAAATAAGGCTATGCTGATGATGATTGAATGGTACAGTGTAATTATTAACTGTTTAAAGGGGTGTAGAAATTATATTGTATATTGCATTTAATTATATAAATAAATTCATTTTTGTATGTAATTGGAAATTTTATTATTAATGCAGTAAAAACAAAGAATTTTTGATAATATTACTAGTGATGAGATGATACCAAAATATCTCCCAATTCCTGATTTTGATTCTGCTGAAAACTCCTAATTTTGATTCTTTTGAATACTTTCTAAAGTTTATTTTAGTTTAGAACATTAATGATTTACATTATAAGCATGGTATATTCATTAATTAATACATAAAGCTTAAGAATGAAAAATGATTGGGAAAGCCAGAATCAATCTTTCAAAACAAACCTAAAAATTCTCCATTTATATGTGAATATGCATGCTTTTCTTGAGTATTATAAATGTATTTGCAATTTTATTTCACATAAAGTTAATATTGCAATACTATCCCCAATGAAATTACAGCTAATTCCCTTTTACTGAATGAACTATCCCATCATGTCATATAGGTTTGTCATCTTCAGAAACTGCTTTGTTGGCCTACACAATGACCAGGCAAAGTGGGAAGGTAAATGAAAATATGCACTTCTATTTTTTTGTGCTTCTCACACTTAGCATGCCTTGTAAATGCTTTAATTCCATCATATTTAACACTAAGTGAGGTTTGGAAAATGATGCAATGAGTTGAATAAATATCATCATCATGAGTTAACCAATTTTTGAATTCATTCCTTGAGCCATGAATGTCTAGACTGGCTCATTTTGAAAAATCAATTTTAAAACTCAAAACTTCAGCAGACTTATAGAGCAACCATATATTTGTACTTAAATCGTGCAAATTGCATTTGAAAATTTAATGTACTACAGCATCATCTGTGAATCATAACAAAAACTTTCATAATTATAATGAGAAAGTCATTTTATCATTATAAGTAAACATACTAAATAATAAAAATAACTTTATATAATATTTTTTTGATTAAAATATAATTTTGTTTATATTTTATACTGTTTTTCTGACACTTAAATATTTTTGCTGACTGCTGGCCTTGATTTGAAATTGCCAGTCAAGCTGGCCCAATGTCAGCCATATGGCAATTCTGATGACATCCCAACCCAAACTGCTTTTATTCCAGAGTAAAAAATTTATTTAAAGTTCCCAAAATCAAGTTTTTTAAAATCTATTGTCTTAAATAAATACTTGAATTGAATTACACATTTGCTAAAAACAAAACATAAATATAACTTTAATATAATATTAATTTATGATAACCATTACATAACTGGTGGCTTCATATGCACAAAAATTGTAAAACAACATTAGAAAACTTTTGTTAATGACATAAAAGAAAAAATCTCCTCCTGTATACATACTGTGTAAAGAGATAAAAATTTTTAACAAAATAGTTTACTTGAAGCTTCCTGTCCTTTAAACATTGTGTTTATAAATCATATAGTAAAGTACATTGATAAATCAAGAACTTAACATATAGGAATGCACTTCATTTAGATGGACAAACCAAATCTTTCAGATAGTCATTCTGCAAGATAAATTTTGAGTCTAGACCCCTCTTCAGTTGCAGACCATACAAAATGATGATGCTGATTCTTATTTTAAAAAATTTTTTAACATATAAGTTTGAAAAAATAATTATAAAAATAGTTAAAAGAATAAAACAGTAAAANATAATTTTTTTATGATATATAAATTTATTAAAAATGTGTACCAAGTAATTGTAATTAAAGTGTCCTATTCAACATTATTTAGAAAGAGATTTAGCAATCTAAATGCAATCAAATCTGATATGGTAACATTTTAGAACATACAGCAGACATTTCTGTAAAAAAATTATTACCAAACTCATCATTACTTTGGTACTGCAAGCAACAGACATTGTATAGTTCAAGTGTCTTGTAGAAATAAAAAGACTTTAGCAATGCATGGGATACTGCTAAATGTAGTCCCCATTCTGAAGGTGTAACAGTATTAAACAGTTGACTGCTGTAGTTGATCCTCTGTGACGCTTCTCAATACAGTCTTATATTGTAATGAGAAGCATCACAGAAGTTCTCAATACAGGTTTCAAAGCTGCCAAATTTGCATCAGGCCTGTGATAGCCTCATTTTTTAAGTGTCCACAAACAAAAATCACATGGATTAAAATCCAGAGAACATAGTGGTGAGACAGTAAAAGCTCATGACTAATCACTGTTATCAATGAAATGTTGTCACAAAAAATGCTGTATGCAGTGTCCAATAACTATTTGCATAAAACTATCTTACTTAAAAATGGTGGATTCAAAGTATTGTTACCATAGTAGTTGGAGTATGGTAAATGTTGAGCATCTCTCACTATCTGGATTGTCATAAAGCATGTAACAGACTCATTGGGACTAGTTTCATCAAAGAAAAAAATGATCCACGGATAAATGTAACTGTGAACCTGCAACCAGAGTGTAATTTCAGGCAAGTGCATTGAAATTTTCTGGAAAACATGAGCCGTTTTCCATGACTCAAATGCAACAGTTATAGGTGTTCACTGTTCCAGTGAGATAAAAGTGTGCTTCATTACTATAGAATCTTCCATAGCTGATATATCAACTTTCATTCTGGCAAGAAAAGTCAATACAAAAATCAGTCAAGTTTCCCTGTTAGCAGCAATCAACTGTTGGTTGTGGCTGATCTTATACAGATAACAATGAACCAACTTTCTGAGTATCTTCCATACTGTGTTCTAGAATATATTCAATTGCTGTAACATTGCACATGTGCTATTGAAGCTTGTAACATTATTTATTGACTGTATAAATAAAATCTTCAACAACTTGTGAATTGATAGGTTTGTGCCCTTGACAAGATTGAATTCCCAGATATCCAGTTTCTTCATATCAAGTGCTCATTCTACTTTGTGAAATCAATTGTCCTTGTAAATTTTTATGATGATGAAATTCTCAAATTGCAGCCCTAGCATTGTCATTTTCATTAAACAGCTTCATAAAAAAAGTGTGTTCTGGCAATCTGATAGCCATCACAGCTGATAAGAACAGTCATGGCAACTTTTAAACCTAGAAATTGGCTGCAACTGTGTTTATATAAAGGGAACTTTATGTAAATACACATGCTGCTTGCAATGCCAAAAATGCATAGTGGTAATTTTTGATACTAATTTTTTTCTTACAAAAATATCTTCCACATGTCCTGGAATGTTACCATTCCAGATTTGGTGGCATTTGGACTGCTAAATATATCCCTGGACAGCATTGAATAGGGATATTTTAATTACAATTTTATGTATATGATACCTACTTGGTATTTAAATTTTTTAAATATCATATTATATTAACTAAAAAAGTTTTCAATAGTAGCCTAATTCTCCTATGCATAACTTAAAAAATTTCAGAATAACATTTACATTTATTCATTTATAGATATGCAGAATATAAATATTTTTAGATCATTTTGTCATCTTTATTTCATTACATTTTGTTCTATTTTAAATGGATTTTGTACATATATTATATGATAAATGTGAAAGATTATAAATTTTGATATGTACTTAGACATGCATGGTTAATCTTTGAGACAAGCATATGAAAGTTATCCAGAGTCACCACCATTTGAGGGCCTAAGCCCGATTGGTCTTGGTCTAATAAATTGGTCTAACAGATTATAAATTTTTTGAATTTTGCATTTATGAATTTATAAACAGGAAAAAAAAGGAACAAATTTTTTGTATTATAATAAAAATACTGTGAAAAGTTATAGTTTTTCTGTTTATAAAATAAAATGGCAGTGAGAATTTCATATTTTTAAATTTGGGAACTATGAATAAAGTTTTCATTTACATTTATTGTTGTTATTAATATTAATAAAAAATACTTACAAATTAATTCTTTGTATTTTCTCCACTAAGCCTAAACATTAAAATGATAAATTAATGTTTAACATGTTGGATATCTACTAAAACTTACATATTACAGACTATTTTCATATCATGTTCTATTACTTATTACTATTACTCTAAAATTTTAAAATATTAATTAAAAAAATATAATACAATGAATTAACAAAAAATTACTTATAAAAGATAAAAAGTTAACAAAAATAATTAATAAAATATTAAAAAAATATTTCAGAAACTAAAAAAAAAAAAAACTATAAA